TATATATATATAGATTATTGTTCCGTATTTCAGTTTTTCATCCAATTCAAAGTTTCTATTAAAACAATTCAACTTACAGTGCAAAACAACACAACAACTGCTATGTTAAACAATGTCGAATAATTTTGTGACATATTTGTATGTTTTTAGAACACTATTTATTACAAAATAGCCCAACTTGTGTTGTTTTGTAGGATGTGCAAGAAACACTGCTATACACATAGTATTCATGACTGTCATCAATGGAATTTAGATTTTAAATTACTCTCCCAAATTTAATTTTTTTTAATCAAAACAATTATATTCATTCACAATCTGAAGTCCTCTTTATAACAATATGAGGAGGGAAATATGATGTCAACACAATACAAATCAATATATTAATATAATATTGTAATAATATGCTTTGGTTTCAGTACAGCGACAATACAGTATATAAGGTAATTATTTTGTTTCAGAATCAGCATATTATATCACAGTTTTTGTAATATTTCATAATATATATACAATTTTTATTTAATATCTCTTTTTTCACACAGTATTAATAAGTCTTTATACATGAATATGTAGTAGCTTTTATATTTTAGAAAAGGGGTCCCTTGCAAGGGTGGTTTCCCCCACAATCCAAAGACATTCTGCATAGGTGAAACGGAGACCATAAATTGCCCGTAGGTGTGAGAGAGTGTGTGAATGTGTGAGTGTGTGTGTTAACCTTGCAATGGTCTGGCCATCCATCCCAGGTGTTGCTAAGAAGCTGGGATAGGCTCCAGCATCCCCATGACCCTACATAGGACAAGCGGTTTGGAAAATAGATGGATGGTCCCTCGCAAGGAGATCATTAAATTTCAGGGCCCTTAGCATGAAAAAGTTTGAAAAGCACTGTACTAGAGGTCATTGACATCCCTTGCATTACTGTCAGGCAAATGTTGTATATTATTATATTATTATTTTTATTAAAAAAAAAAAAATACTGCTGCAAACATTTTGCACCCTGTGTGGACAGGCTCACATCCATAGTAAAGACCCATTTACACAAAAAAAAAAAAAAAAAGAAGAAAAAAATAAATAAGAAAAGTATAATAATAATAACTATATTACTGTTTACATCAACACATGATAACAGTCAGTTCAGTTTATTTTAAGAATGTGCTAAACGTTTGTTGTCTGCCACTTTAAATGCTCAAGCTCTTTAAAGCACTATAAATTCTAATTGACTGTCAAAGATTTTATCGTTCATCAGCTGAAAAAAAAAATCGTACTGAAAGTGATCCCAACGATACTGTTCCTCTATGTTATTATCGTTATAGTTGTGGTGTGAATTTTGCACTCATAAGAACTATAAGACTCTCATTTGTATTCAAATCCAGAATAATTGAGCTACGATGTAAGAAAAGAGATATTTCAATAAAATCTACTGCTTTTAAGTTCCCTTTTCTAAGAGTGAGCTACAAGAAACACCAAAAAATTCAATCATTGAATAGTGAGCTGCATATTTTAGGGCATCATTAATCAAACAAATAATTAATGGAGGGGGCAAAAGTTGTGCTAGGCTTCAAAACAGACATCAAGCATTCTGACTTCATGTGTTCTTCCATTTCTGTCTCTCTGTCTGGGACCCAGGGCAAAAAGACACTCATTACTCCTAATACCTTATAGCAATCAAGATGAAAAGCAAAAAACAGCAGCACAAGAAGGGTAAACTTTATTAAACTTCATTAAAGTCAAAGTCGGGGATCATGTCTGTAATGGTCACACTCAGTGGAGGGCGAGCAGCGTAAATCATCTCAAAGGCTTTTTTCCAGCTTAATGGCTGGGTAATTTATACTTTGATGTCGTTTGAGTGTAGCTATCACTGTCTAAGGGCTGTTTATTCTGTTTATGAGGCCTAAATAATTCCTGGCTCTTTTTACCCATAAACCCTAAGCAACAATTAACAACTGCGGACATCCCGAGCAGAGGCAGATGCATAATGAGGAAGAAAGAGCAGATGAAAAAAGCACTAAGAGCGGGGGGAGAGATTACAAATGGGCACTGTGCAAATGATACCAAAGCGAATCCAGTCTTGTCTCGCTAAAAACAAGATATTTTAATCTCAAAGCATCCAACACGCTGCTTTAGTTGCCCCAGCAATTGACTGAATTGCTCAATTGAAATTGAATGTTCTCTCCAGAGAGCTATCCAGACCTTTTCCTGACAATGGGTGTGGGTCGCCTATGCAGGCGTTCCTCTGTTATTAAACACAGGCTTTCATTGGTTGTTCTGTTTCCCTGCTGATTTTAATTTGCTATTAGCAGTCGGCACATATGTCCCTGAGGCAAAAAAATTTAAATGATTACCTACAGTAAATGCACACTAAAATATACAGACGAATAGAGGTAGTCTTGAACAAATACAGGTAATGGAGTCAATGTAATGCTTTTTTTGTAATGCTTTTTTTTCCAAATGAATTCATGATTAATTTATTTCAAATACACGTTAAAATGCAATTAACATGTGCAATGACTTGAACACGTCATTTTTTTTCAAATATCTGAATTAAAATTATTTAAGGCATATAAAAAAATAAATAAAATGAATTAAAAGAAATTATATTTGTAGATTTTTGTGCATCAAAATTTTGGTAAATGCATAATACAAGTGTATATATACACACAGTCACAATGCACTCAGCAAAATTTTAAGGAACAAAAACCTACAAACAACACGATTATATAGTCACTCAGGTTGGAAATGCTCCGTTATACATGCATGAACTGTATAAGCTGAAGTTGAACAGTGAATGAATACAAATAGACTGAAGCGATTTGCTAGCAGGTTAATAAACTCACCCAAACCTATCCTACACATATGTCATTAATCATACACAACATAAACACAATATTGCAACTTGTTTATGCATATGTGAATGCACACTCTCTATAGTGGCTCACTGAAACAAGTATAAAGTAACGCACAATGAATAACTAATTAATTAACATTGTAATTTTTCATCATCTACAATATGGATATTTAATTGATAATTAATTGATATAGAATAATAATTAAGATCTGTACGCGCATATATTCAGTTGGCAAATAAAAAATATATTACTATTTACTTGGCTACACATCAACATTTTAAGTCTAATTAATATGCAACTTCATTTTTCAAAATCCAATGAAAACAACTCAAAAGAAAACAATGTATAAGAAATAACTGTGTTTTCAACTACATTTTTAAAAGATTTGTCTTTTTCTTTATCCTGTCACTGACCCACTTAACAGTGAGGCCTAAAAAAAGACATCTCCGTTCGGACTCAATATCTGCTAGAAAGGGTGCAGAACAGGAGACCTTCAGACTGTGAAAAGCACTTGAAGGAAATGAGTGCAGCGAGATAAGGCAGAGGCAGCCCACCGCTGCTCTGTAAGTATCCAGCAGTCGTCTCCGCCGGCAATTAAGACAGCCTAAAACTACAGGCCTCAATAAGGTAATTAACCATTAGCAGATCATCGCGACGCTTATGAGCGCAACCTTCACAAGCACAATCATCCTAATACGGTCAGTAAAGCGGCAACCTGCCATCTTCTGCCAGCGCAGACCCATTGCACAGCCCATCCTTAATTGTGGGCCATCAACAGTAATTTAGCTCGCTGTCCCACATAACAGCTTGATAAACAAGACTGGCCTAATTACACCTTGCATGTTCCGACCCAATCCTCTCAGAGCAAACGATAAATAAAGCAAGGTTAAGTGCAAACGAACAGAAGTCAGGAAGCGGAAGAAACACAGAGCGTGCAGGGGACCTGTGCTTCCACAATCACAAAGTCGGTAATGTTTGTCTCGGGCAAGTGGAGATCAAAGACAGTGCTCCCCTTCCACCTCAACATTGTAGGTTTTTTTTCCTTCCCGCTCCTGAAAGCACGAGTTAGGCCGGCCTAAGTTTACTCAGAGCTCGCTGGAACGGGCATGACAGGGATCACGGCTAACCCCGAAGGACAGGTGCTGCGTGGCTGGAAAGAGAGCAGGTCCCTCGTGCTCCTCGCAGGTCACTTCCAAGCAGCGCATTAGTGCGAGCGCCGCGGCAGAAGGCCCTTAACGGGGAGTGTTGGCTGCTAGCCTGTAATTAGCTTGGACAGCTCAGGCTCAAAGAGAGAGAGGGAGGCAGCCAGGCTACATCATAATGAGCTCAGCTGGGATTAGGAGGACAGGCAGCCGGCAAGGTGGGGGCGTGAAAAGAGTGAGCCCTCCTGTACGAGCGAGCCGGGGGTAGAGATCAAGCAGGGGAGGGCCAGGCCGCACTGGCTGGCAGGGTTAGACCCCTCAGCAAAGGATGGGCCAAATGAGGCCTGGCAAGGAAAGGGCCAAGGCGGCCTAATGAAGCGCGACACCTCCAGCAGACGAGATCAGCAGTAATTAACACATGCGCGCACACGGACTGTCACTGAATGTACCCCCGAAAAATCTCGAGGGAGCAAACCTCAAGACAGGAATGTCAGTGTGTTTAGCTGCTATAAATGTCTGGAGTTGCACCGAGCATCTGTATTCAGTGTTGTGTTAAGGAAGTTGTTTACAGAAAAGCCTGAACTAATTTTCTTTCCATTAGATTTTTTTAATCAGAGCAGTATAGTTTGACATGAAGAAAATGGACAATGGATTGAAAGATTTAACATACTAGCTTTGGAAGCACTTACAGTGAGCCAAAATTTCAGTCCTAGAGGCAATCATTGTAACTTTGGGTTGTGAATGTGCTAAAAAGCCTTGAGATGGACAGCTTTTTCCCCTAAGTTCTGTTTGAAATGACAATATCATTTTTCTTGAAGTGTCAGCAGTCATCTATGTGAAATTGCAGTAGAATCCCTGCTGGGTGCTAATAATGACTGTGACGGCTCTACATGACCTGACAAAATGACAGACACTTACTTGTCAGAGAGTAGCTTCTTGTTCTCCTCCTTATAAAACACCAATTCATTCCATAAATCCTCTCTGTCCTGCTGCACTTGTGTTTTGCATTTTGACCTGAAATATTGGAGAGAGAAAAAAAAAACAGTTATACAAATAGCAGCATCTTTCTGACTAGAAACATATGAGAATTTTAGGCTTGCCACTCTCTTTCTGTGAAAAAAAAAAAGTACAGATATTCTTCTAAAATTCTTGGTCAAATAAATGTAAGATTACACCCATAAAATTGTAATTATGTGGGCTTGTTATCTTAACATGCACATATATTACCAAAAACATATACTGATGGCTCACAGAATTCTAAACTGCCAAAAAAGCAGTGAAGCCACCAGAAGTTTTTGGACCACCAGAAGTGTTTGAAACACCAGAGGGCATCACCGACTGATAGCCAATATTTTGACCAAAAAAGACCCAGTATGAAGTCTATCAGTGGGACATTATTTATTTATTTATTTTCATGCTCTTTATCTTTAATTGTTACTGTAGATGTTAACTGTAATGTCTCTGGTTAGTTTACACAAAACAAGTGACATAGAAATCGTAGGTCTGTCTACTGCACAGTCCCGAACTGCAATTTACCCAACACAAAATGTATGTAATTATGCAGGAAATATTAAGTATGAACATTAAAACAAACGTGTTTTTTCTTCTTCTTTTTTATGTCTTTTCACTGACCAATATCCACTACAGACTACAAGAAAAATTTGAGAAAAAAAAAAATTCTAGGGCTAGGTTGGTTAGTGCAAATTACTAAAATGTTTAAAATGTCAGTTTGCGTAGTTTGACATACATACTATTGAATTAAACATTATTTGAACCAATTTAACCAACATTAAGCCATAAAACACTGTTGAATCATTTACATTTAGTCACTATACTAATAAAAACTAATATAACACACGATAATTACATAACACACAGTGTGGATAATTAGCTATGAAAAGATGTGGACAGTCATTCTTGTGGCTGACCCAACTGCATATGTATTTGTAGGAGTTTCCCTTTCAGACAAAAACATTATGAGAGAAGAATATTTAAATGTATTACGCAAAATAATCTCTTAAGGTTTGTGGCGGTCAATTTATTGGTATTCGCGATATTATTTAATGCCCCAAAAAGCATGTTTTAATTCATTTTGTGCCTGTGTTGTTAGTAGATTACATGCACCCAATTATCATCGGCTCTGCTTTTTTGCAACCCAATGTTAATTTTCCCTGCTCTTGGTAGATTCTTGGTAGATCTGTGTTGGTCATTATGGAAATCATCTGGCTGCATCTGTGTTCTTTAATTTGCGCATTGTCAGTAGATCCCCGCAGAACTTTCCACTCCCATCTACACATGCTTAGAACGTTTGCATTGTATGAATGTACTGGACTTCATATATAAAAACAATGAGTCATTAGGTAATGTTTACAAAGTTTACATACTACCTAATGAAATCAGATGGTTTCCCATTTTCAATTCAATAGAATGTGTGGGAAACCCAATATGGCCGAGTGGTGGACCATTCTTATCTAATTTACTTCGAGAGCAGAACTGAAAATTTCATTTTTAGTGTGATTTTTGCTTTTCACATGGTAAAGAAATAAATCAATAAATCAAAAACAGCAATATTCAGCTGTGGTCTGAATGTAATGCAAATGTGTGGTTTGAATAATTTGTGTTCAGACTTTGTCAAAGTGAAAACTATCAAGTTCCGTTCCTTCCACTGACACTGTAATAAAAAAGGAACAACAAAAGGTCTCTCTCAGTTTGCACACTACTTTAAGTCAATATTACACAAGCAGAACCGCTCTGTAACACAAACACTATTTAAACCCTATTCCACAGACACTCTCCTCTCATAACGTCCTTGAACCTGCTGTATGGCAGAGTGCCTTTGGGTTCTGCGGGAGCAGACCTACATCATGTGAAAACATTCACCCTGAGAAGCCACTCCTCAGCTAACAGCTTAACAAGCAGCAGCCCGGAGATCTTTCGTCTTAATCCATTGTGAAATTCAGTATTAAAGCTATGAATGGCCTCCTGAAGGATGTACTCATGAAACAGACCTTAGAGAAAGACATCTCTATTCCCCTCAAGCCTCCTTCACCTCCATCTCACTTCATTATACAGTGAGCGAGTAAACTGCGAGAACTTTTCTGAAAAGGCAGCGGCTAATTTCTTTGATTCAGCGAATCTGTTTATGAGTGCAACTTTGATCAGCGTGTGGATGTTTTAATAAGTTTTAATTTTATTTACTCATCCCAACGCACCCAGTCTGATTTACAAACTTGAAAATCCCTTCTGGAGAAAGAGAGGGTATGTTTTTATGTTTTGCTAATAGTGGTAGCGCTAATCGTGAGTGACGTCGTGGGTTACACAGGGCTGCAGCATTCTAATGAGATGTTAGTCTACAGCCAAGCTCTGAGACTCCTGCTGGGGCCCGCTCTCGCTTGTGCTAATACATGTGTAATAACACTAACTCCTCTAATATATCCAGATTGATGCATGCCTGAACATCAGAAATGGTTCTTTGGCCAGAAGATGTGGCTTAGGCTAGCAGCTCGCTAACCGATTTTCCACTGGTTTTGAGGCATTAGGCACATTTGCATAACTGTTCAAAACGAGTTTGTTTAGCAGGTAAACGTAACAGCCCCGCTAACTCGACTCCCTGAGGAATTACTGACACTACCAGCTCTGTATGTAATATGAACGTTCCCGTAACATGACTGGAAAGCTAAATAAAACAAGAGCTCTCTGGAAAAGTAAGTGTTTCCCCCCCCATATATTGCGATATTCTGCGATATATTTGTAATTTATTACCTTTTTCCAACTTCAAATTATGTCCCCAAAGGAAAACTTTGACAACGTCTCTTTTAACTAAAAAAAAACATTTCTCAGTTTGTTTATCTCACTTCAGTTGTATTGCTGCAGTGCAAAATGGGATTGTCAAGCAGACAAACTTACCAACACTTTCATGAAAACCTGTCATAAATGTTGTATGCACCTGGCAAACTCAACTATTTGTATTACGGTCTAATCTAGTCCACCTTAATTAAATGTAAACAGGTATGCACTGCTGTGCTACTACAGGTATTTTGAACAATGCAACTTGAAATTGTACTAAAAAGTTGTGCAGACCCTTCAGCAATTGGGACATTTGAAAGTAAATTACTGTTAAATTTAAATTAAATTAAATAAAACATGAAGTCTTACATCTAGGGATGCACCGAAATGAAAATTCTGGGCCGAAACGGAAACCGAAAATTCTGGATGCAACATTAACTAATGGAACCTTATTGAAAAGTGTTACCTTAATATTAAATATCAATATATTATGTAATTATGTTGTGTTACTTCTATGTAACAGAATCAGATATAAGTTGTTGTTGTTGTTGTTTTTTGGACTAATTATCCAAATAATGTATAGTCCTACAAAGCTATTATTATCAGAGCATATGAGCAGAGCATAGCATCACTGAAGGTAGCATCATTTTAGCAGCGTTGCCCAGTACAGCTGAACTAGCCTACACCATGCTACAGCACAGTAGCGCTACTGCAAACCGGAACAAGTATACTGCATGGAAATTTCCTGTGGGGCTTTCCTGATAACTTTCCGCGATGCCGCCCTCTTTATTTTACTAACTTACTGCATGCTGAAGGTGACCCAGCTGAACTCACCAGAAAAAAACTCAACACCACCATCTAGTGGATTGTAAATAAATTAATTTTATTATTCTACCAAATAGTATAATAAAAGATCGATACTTGGCGTCCGTGTATCGATACAATATTGCCGCGGAAAATATCGCGATACTATGCTGTATCGATTTTTCCCCCACCCCTAATATTATTATGTGCAAATATCAAGTTTTAAATAGTACTTACAAGTCATGGGTATCTTCAGCTTCCTTCAGCCGCTCTTTCACTGTTCTGTAGTTGGTCTGAATGATGCGTAAACGGTCATGATGTTTGGCATGGGCTCGTCGCAGATCCTCATTCTCCTTAGTCTGTAGTTTACAGATGACCAGACATACATACAAACACAATTAAAATTGTATGATTTAGATGAATTCAAATGCGCACATAACCATTACAATGGGCAGTGGGCAATCGCGGCCTAATGGTCAGACCTTCAAATCCATGACTGAAGTGCCCTTGAGCAACGCACCGAACCCCCAACTGGTCCCCGGGTGCCGCAGCAAAAATGGCTGCCCATTGCTCTGGGTGTGTGTTCACCGGTGTGTGTGTGTGTATTTGTTCACAACTCACTGTTGTTTGTGTGCACTTGAATGGGATAAATGCTGATTCCAACAAATTCCAAGTATTCCACACCACACACTTTCAATCACATAAGAGTTTAAAAATGAGGGTAAAATGTTAATTTTCACAATCAACTTTGCTTATTAGCATGCATATCACTAGCATGTTGGCTGTTTATTAGTACTATTAATGCCCTATTCTGCATGACCCTATTTTAGACTCCTTAAACCTACACCATACCTGAATAACTTAACAACTACCTTACTATTAATAAGAAGAAAATAAGGAGTTTATTAAAGCAAGAGCCGTAGCCAATAGTTAGTTAATAGTGAGAATTGACCCCTGGCAGGGAGCTTGATTGACAGGTGATCTGTCCAATCATAACGTAGAACTGCCATTTTGTCAGTCAAAAAAAAAAAAAAATCAGACAGCAGAGTAGATTAACTTCGGTGGACGTAAATTGAAAATGGTGTGTATTGACGTCTTTCCACGGTTGAAATAAAATTCCTTCTGATGTTCATTAGTTTATTTCATGCTAAGTAAATATGAAAAGATGATCGGTTCACGTTCCTTTTGAACTGAGGTGCTACAGTGATCTGTCACGACACATTAAAGAGCCACAAAATGCTATTTATTGTTTGAATTTCTTAAAAACAATGATAAAAGTTGAAAGCCAAGACTTTGTTTCATACCAGAAGTAACCTGCTCTTTGCTCAGTGATGTATTTTTCACTGCGTGAGAAAATGATATGTGGCAATAAAAAATATACAGTTTACTATGTAACCAAAACACCAACCTTATTTTGAAAAGTCTACACATTACTAGTTACAGCTGTTCATTTAAAAAAAAA